ATCTCTCTCTCTCTCTCTCTCTCTCTCACTCTCTCTCCATGTATCCAATCACTTATTTACCCACCACCACCTCACTTTCATTTACATCAAATGTATATATTGCAACAGATCCTGGAGCTGATAGACCTATTCATATAGAAGGAAAACATCGCTTTGCTATTCGTAGTAAAAAATTCAAGAGCTACTGTGGTTCTTTTTCGTAGACAGAAAACGTCGCTTTTGCTTTTCACATGAGTATCTATATTCATCACCACGGACAGAGTCCATGGGTTGACCACTGATTTGTTGTGCTGTGTTTATTCTGATAGCATGAAGACAAACCTATTATCTCTGCTCTAGCTGTTTCTAATCTCAAGGTCAGAGGGATCGAGGTCATGCATACGACCAGATTATTCTGTTTAACCTTCTATATTTCAACACGAGACAGCTGGTTGGTATAATGGGTCTCTTCTTATGCTGTTTTCAGACGTAGATCTCTGCATTTAAAAAACTGATACGGTTTGTTCTGATTCTTTTGAGTTGTCTTACTCCCCCATCCATACAATTTAAGTCATTAGGGAGCTGGCTGCTTTTTGACTCTGCCTTTCCTGGCCAACCCGGGCTGAGTGAAATAAAACATCCCAGATGGCAGACAGGGTACCAGCCATGTTTTAGGGATCTAAGATAAGATAAGATAAGATAAGATAAGATAAGATAAGACAATACTTTATTGCCCGATAGGGCAATTTTTCTAGGATGAATAAGTTAGACATTCTAAATGTACTACCTGTCTTTTTTCTAGAACCCGATAGCCTATTCTTTTATCTTAGCTAGGTTTACTTGACATACAATGTTACAGTCGGCGTGAAGTCGTTGAGCAAACCATCACCATCACTACTACTACTACTACTACTACTACTACTACTACTACTACTACTACTACTACTACTACTACTACTACTACTACTACTACTACTACTAAATGGAGCTAAACCCGTTTGTGAGGTCAGTACACTTTTTTTAGGTAGGTGCCTATAAAATCGACAAAACTATGATCCAGTTAAGAATGATCACAAAGGGTTACAGTGACATATTTTCAAAGATCGGAAACTACCTTTTGATTTTTCAGGTTTGATGGGTTTTTTTTCTGTAAATCGAAGCTCTCAGATGTTTTCACTCTGACATTAGCCATTTCATATTTTATTAGGGACCACTTCCGTTTCGGTTTGTGACTTGAACTGACTTGTGCTTCGTCGTGTGTGTGAGACAGCTGCTTCTACTCTTTCCAGACCTAGAACCTGGATAAATATCCAACTCTGTTTGGATGTGTTCTTCGCAATGCCGATGGATACTTCAGGCCAAACTTAATTGTAATGACCTTTTCTAAATACATTTGGTATAGTCATGTCCCCAACACGCTAAGTTCATTTAAACCCACAACATGCTTACTTTATGGTATTGGCGTTTTCAAAATTAAACGCGAAGGCTACTTGGTACATTTTTATTTTTTTTATTGAGCAAGACTCTAGATCTAGATCTCTCTATATCCTAGATGTATTTTTGTATCACAGAATTCAAGACTGATCTTGAGTAGTTAGCAAGAACAGAAGCGCGGTTCTTTGTCGTGTGTGTGCCACATAGTTTTACTTCGTGTTTACAAAGCTACTTCTACTGTTTCCAGATCTAGAATCTCAATATCTAACTCTGTTTGGATATGAGATTCGCAGAGTTGATAGGCGCTTCAGATCAAACTACATGTACATGTATATTGTATTGACTTTTTCTAGATGTAGGCCTGTCTGGTGTAGTGTGGCGTCGGTGGCCTAGTGGTTAGGCTTTCGGACTCGCAACCGTAAGGTTGTGGGTTTGAATCCCGTCAAGGGCCCGATGTTGTGTCCTTGGGAAAGGCACTTTACACGAATTTTCCTCACTTCACCCAGGTGGGAATGGGTACCCCGCTGTAGACAGCGAAAGATCTTGTCATCGTAGAACGGGTCTGTATCTTGTAATAATAACAATAACAATAACAATACCACCACTACCACCACCACCACTATCACCACTACCACCATCACCACCACCACCACCACAACCACCACCACCACCCCAACAGCAGCAGCAGCAGCAGCAGCAGCAGCATTTAAAAACATCAATAATGACCTCAACTAAACCAGCCTCAACAAAAGAAATGTCAGTATACCACAGAAAGTGTTAATTAAGAAGACCCCATGACACGACCAGTCAGTCAGGACAATGCGGAAGATATAGTACAGATAACAACAGACTGTTGTCACTCCAAATCTACGCAATGGCTGCTAACGGTAAGTCAGTGTTGTGTCTGCAGCTCTCTTTCCCAGAGCTCATGGGTTTCATGCTTTAAAAAAAATTGCTTTGTTTTTAATTGTAAATGTACTTTGTTTTTAATTGTTTAATGTTCTTTGTTTTTGATACTTTGTTTTAACTTGTAAAAGAACTTTGTTTTTAATACGTTGTTTTTATATAATTGCAAATGTACTTTGTTTTGAATTGTAAATGTACTTTGTTTTGAATTGTAAATGTACTTTGTTTTGAATAATTTGCTTTTAATTGTAACTGATAGGTTTTTTAAATTGAAAATGTACTTAAAAAATGTAAATGCACGTTGTTTTTAATGGTAAATATACTTTATTTTTAATACTTTGTTTGTAATACTTTGTTTTTAATTGTAAATATTGTACCTCCCAATCGACATAGTTTAGACCATTAAAAAGACGGGCTGTCTTGATCTCAGCAGACTGACGAATGCACTCGGTAAAAACATCCCTCGGCCGGAATTGAACTCTCGTCTTCTACACGCAACGGCGAAAAGTTTAACCTGTGCACAACAATCGCCGGTTCTTGTTTCATTATAGTGAGGAACGGAAAGAACTAGAATCGATAACTAATTACAACAAAACATCTCTATCAGTGTAAAAATATCCCAAGATTTCTTTGCTGAATACTATGGGCTCTTGTTTATCTTGTTTATCTTTGAACAAGGGTGGTAGGCTTAGAATCTACAAATGAAATATATTATTTAGACTTAAACCGTTGAAATTTGCAGTACTTTTTTCTTCTCCGACCAAATTTGGCTTGCCACAGCTCAACGGTGACTGACGCCGTAGGCTATCCTATCTGTCCATAGCACTGTATCAGTGGTTGTTTAGACTACTGTGCTGTTCTGTTGACTAGAAATTGAGTACCGTAGTCCGTGCGTCAGTCCAACATGATGCCCACTCAGTTGAAGGCATGCACCACTGTATAGGTTTGTTTGTTTTTTTACCTCCAGTGTTCGATCATTCAGGAGGTGGCGACTTCAAGGTCACCCCGGGCATGAAGACCGCGTTTGAGCAACAAGGATATGTCTTAGTCAGGTGGGTTGGTTTGTTAAATATATAATAATCATGTCTTAATACCTAAAGCACATTGTCAATCAAATTCGGAAGAATTCGTTCGAACTGAATCAGGTCTTGCCAGATTTTCCTCCATGGAGTGGCATAATTCTAATGAATTCGATAGTGGCCTTCAAAAACTAACACGTTTGTTTTCAAGGCCGCGAGTTGAAGTCGTCAGATGTCGACCCCACCCGAACTGAACCGAACTGAACAGAACCGACCCGACACAAACCGAACTGAGTCTGCCTTTGGGCATCACATATTATTATAGACCCTGTTGATACGATTTAGATCCGATACGTTGACCTCGTCTGTGTCAGGTCCAACCTGGGATTAAAGGAATCATCACCACCCAATACCGGATCTGGAGCAGACATCGGCGATCATGGTTCTCCATTCATTCCTTTGCTCGGATGCTCTTAAAAAGTCTACGTTTCATTGATCTTTCCTCTTTACCCAGTTTAGAAGAATACAGGGATGAAAATAGACTTCTCTACCCAGGAATCCAACTCACCTCTTTCACATGCAACGATGAAGACCCTCGCCATTATACCACATGAGATGGTATAATATGTGGGTTAGGGGTTACATAATGTTTGTAATATATCCATACCCAGAGTAATTATCTAGGATAGTTTGAGTAGGTGGTTGTTGGGTGCTTCAGAACATAATTTGTGCGGCATCATGGTGAAATCAGGCGCTCGTCAAAATGCTGTAACCGAAGAAACCCCGACATTTTTTTTGCACGTTTAGTAATTTTTATTTATTCTTTTTTTCTTTGGCTCAACACCTTTTATGTCCATTGAAAAACAAATTTCTGCGTGGATTTTATAGAAAGTTGTAGATAAAAAGCATTTAAAAAATGTAATGTCAGTTTTAATAGGACACTCAAGATTTGGAAGTCACCAAACTTTTCTCAGTAATTTTATCTCTGATACCAGGCAACCTCTACCTTTCTAAGCGGCAAAGATCTCTTCCTCTTTTCAATATAGATAGTTAAAAAAAAAATCAAAAGCTATAAAAATGAACAAACTTTAAGATGACACCAGTAATCCCAAATGCCCAAATAATGAGGAGAGGCGCTGGGGTTCATTCGGTGAGGCCCAAGATAACACCATCTTTTCGCCAATGTCATGACACATATTTTTTAAAGAAAAAAGGTAGCTGTTTCGTGTGCATGTGTGTGTGTGGGGTGTGTGTGTGTGTG